GAGCACACCGATTGGACAGTCTATGACGAAGTACAAACAGCAATCTATGTTAATGCATGCTGTACTAAACTCGCGTATAATCAATTTCTAGAGGAGAGAAGAACCTGTAGCTAAGCAAGATATTAGGAATCGGAAAAACTGAACAATCCTTGATCATTGCATTATTGTGTGTCTCATAAACGTTCAAAATATACTAACATGGCTGTATACGAGGGCGTAGAAGGGGGCTGTGAAGCATGTGCTGACATATCTGCAACTCCAGGCCAGTTTTATTACGGGGCTTCGTGATTCACAATGAGCTTGGTCTACAGTTATGTACCCAATCAATGAAAAAGGAGTGCAATATTGCGACTTCATCGTTCATGTAGCTTAAAAAGCGACAAAGCAGCACTATTTGCGAGCATGGATCTGTTGCATTGAATCACTTGTGTTTTCCAATGTCGCTTCGTCTTTTCCTTGAATAAATGTGGTTAGTGGGAAAACTATTAGCGCTAAACAACTTATTCACAACGACAATTGCAGAGAGCTCGCATTCCCCGGGCGGATGGTGCAATCCAGGCACAAAAACAGGCCGGAGGTGCGTGAGTAGCAGCAGCAACTGCATTCCGATCATCGAACAGACTTTCAAGCCACGCGAAATAGCGAAGGGAAAGGCAAGCGCCGGTGGCGTGTGGATCCTACAAATCACTTGACCGAGTTCGCTCGCGACGTCAAACGCTGTCAACAACTCCACACCGCAGTGCTGTCGCGGGCATGGCAGCGTCAACGTGACGATTGCAGGAGCACGTTCGACGGGCCGAACGCACTCCTGCGATCGGCGGGAGTTTCTCCAGCGGCACTTTGACTTCGGCTGTGACGTCTGTTACCACCTTTGGTTCGAGAACAGCCACTGCAATTAACACATTTCGAAAAGCATTTAACCGCTCATCACACTCCTCTATTACCGTGATCATGCGAGGCGCAATTTGCGGCTTGTGAAATAAACACTGTGGTAAACGCAAGCCAAATGTGTGTCTAATCCCATCCCGAAGCAAGAACATCCATGGGATAATTGCGAAAGGCTTCAGTGCAGCTTTGGGTTTAACGCACTGCTAAACGCTAGTGCCGAACGATACAGCTTTTGCTGGTTAACCATTTTTAGGGAGTGTTCAGGCGGTGATTTGTGGAGTGCTTATGACAATTATTGGTTATGAAATCAAAATTTTATGGCCCTTGAGTACTGTTATAAGCTGGTACGACTACATTGGATATACTTGCTCACAGTTCATATTGTCGCAACGTGCAAAGAACAGAGCACAAGGCTTCGTTTCGACGGGAACAGCAAAGCTCTATTCGCTCACAAGAACAAAATGCAAGAGCAGACGCGTAACGTCTTCGAAAAACGCCAGAGGCTGCCACTCGTGATGCTGGCTTCTTTTTCCTATGTTGCGCTTACGGCTAATAATCGTGACACTATTCTCTACGTTTTCGGCAAGCACACATATTTTCCAATAAAACATCTCGGTAGCATACGCGCAATATTGACATATAAGTGCGTTTCATTAAATTCTTTTACTTACCCAATTTTAAAATCTTATCGTACCGCCTACTGTAATTCAGCACATGTTCCCTCTTCAAGGTATTTTACTTCGCCGCTTTGTTGTTATTGAATGCGAAGCATTTCTTTGCAGGCGCTGTGGCCGTCCACCCATTCGTCCGTCCATCCATCCATCCGTCCACTGTCTGTCTGTCTGTCTGTCTGTCTGTCTGTCTGTCTGTCTGTCTGTCTGTCTGTCTGTCTGTCTGTCTGTCTGTCTATCTATCTATCTATCTATCTATCTATCTATCTATCTATCTATCTATCTATCTATCTATCTATCTATCTATCTATCTATCTATCTATCTGTCTGTCTGTCTGTCTGTCTGTCTGTCTGTCTGTCTGTCTGTCTGTCTGTCTGTCTGTCTGTCCGTTCGTCCGTCCGTCCATCCGTCTATCTATCTATCTATCTATCTATCTATCTATCTATCTATCTATCTATCTATCTATCTATCTATCTATCTATCTATCTATCCGTCTGTCTGTCTGTCCGTCCGTCAGTCTGTCCGTCCGTCAGTCCGTCCGTCCGTTCGTCCATCCGTCTATCTATCTATCTATCTATCTATCTATCTATCTATCTATCTATCTATCTATCTATCTATCTATCTATCTATCTATCTATCTATCTATCTATCTATCTATCTATCTATCTATCTATCTATCTATCTATCTATCTATCTATCTATCTATCTGTCTATCTATCTATCTATCTATCTATCTATCTATCTATCTATCTATCTATCTATCTATCTATCTATCTATCTATCTATCTATCTATCTATCTATCTATCTATCTATCTATCTATCCGTCCGTCCGTCTGTCTGTCTGTCTGTCCGTCTGTCCGTCTATCTATCTATCTATCTATCTATCTATCTATCTATCTATCTATCTATCTATCTATCTATCTATCTATCTATCTATCTATCTATCTATCTATCTATCTATCTATCTATCTATCTGTCTGTCTGTCTGTCTGTCTGTCTGTCTGTCTGTCTGTCTGTCTGTCTGTCTGTCTAACAATTTATCTAAGTATTCAGTACTGTGTCCTATATTTCTATCTATATAGCAGCTTACGCCTGGATGCTATAGGTGTCATCCCCTAATTGAGGTAAAACAACATACAGAATGGTAAGATGGTTTGATATATGTCTTTCGTTGGACATGACACTTATGTCATTGCAATTCTGCGGTTAACATCGTCAAACCTTTTCCGCCAGGCGTGTGGCATGTTCCCGTGGGCTACTCAGAAACGGCGAGAACAGACCGGGGTAATTTTAACGCGTGAGCATTAGGAGAAAGCTGAAATCGGCAGTGCTGACCCCGTGAATGCAAAAAAAAAAATGATTGTCAGGACCCCTACAGAAATCTAACCCCAGCATTTTACGTAGCAATGAAGTATTCTATCCCAGTGCCATGCCAGGTCTTGAAGTTACTTTTCGGATAGACTTTATGGTATTGAAACGTCAATGGTGGTTGCAGTGCTGCCTATCCAATTTTATAAACATTACTTGTGTACTCCAATGATACAGCTATCAAGTTGCGTTAACGTGAATTATAGTTGATTGCCATCCGATGAAGTTCAATTATGCAGCACGGTCCAGGGCTACTGGTGCTAATATCCATGCTGCTGTTGGAATTGTTACGCGAGTGTAACTCACCTCCTATATAAAACAAATGCCAATGTTTAATGTGTGTCTGTGCGAGCACTTGTACATGACTTTAGCGGCACTGTGTAATGTTTCTCAAAAAAATAATACAATTACTTCTAATTCGCATGCTTCGAACTAAACGTTCTGCCGGATTTTAAAACTCTGATCTGCCGAATTTCATTATCTCGATGTTTATACTTTTCACCCACGTTTTTTTTTTGTTCATCCGACTTCAGGTCCACGTCAAGCACCGATTTATTGTTTTGAGTGGGAACTTTACGACACACAACTTTTAAAATGTTTTCTCATAGTCACAGTATTATGGCGGGGGATGCCTTGGTAAAGTTGTCCGAAACTTTTGACCACCTGAGTTACTTGAACATGCACAGCTCGTCCTTGTTGATAAGACGTTAAGCAATATTAAGTGGACAGTGATAAAAGCAGGGCAAGAGAGGTCGCACACGTTGTGTCCTCTCTGGACGCCCTTGTGTCACTTTGCACTACACACTGGCTAACATTAGCGTGCATCAAAAAATAAGCATGCAGGCCTCAAGCATTCCGCCTTTGAAGCTGCAAGACGTATTCTATCCCGAGGCCTTCAGGTCAGCGGTTGAGTAGCATAACCAATAAGCTGCAGTAGCTGGTGCGCAGCTTTTTATGCCAGATTGTGTAGTGTTTTTCATTCTGAGTATTAGCTTTGAAAGTGTTTTTAGTCAGTTTCGACAGCTCAGTGAGGACAGAATATTCTGTAGGATATCGAGACCTTTCAAGTGCCTACGTACAGATTTTCTATGCTTTCGAATGGCAGGACAAACACTTTTTTATTCAATTTGAAATTATAAGTTGTTTCATATAAAAGATAGCGTAACTATTTGCAACTTTTTCCCCTACAAGACCAGAAGAAGTGTAGCCGTCGAAGTGACTTACACATCAGCGTCACTACGGCAAGCCATTTCGAAGAGAACAGGTCATTTTTTGCACCAGTTGCCAAGAAGGCACTGTGCCAAGTCGTTAAGACTGAGTTGCGGATGCTCAAAAGCTTATCTTTCGATTTATTACATCAGCGCGCACTGCATTCGGCACTGGGAGGCAGGACCACATTGAAGGGTCCACTTTGACGTCTCAAAACACTAGCACAGAAAGCAGTAGCCGTATTTAACCAGCTCTCGTCTAGGCTAAAGGTGCCGTCAGGGATTGTAGCAGTTTGCTTACTTCTATCAGTTTCGTGTGCCCTCCGCAAGAAGCCTGTGGGAGCGGTAGCTATCGCACATGGCGTGTTTCTGGCCGTCTTGATGAGTTCCTGCAAGTACCATTGCTCGCAGAGTGCATCATGAGCGCAGTGACAGAACAACCATAAGGTGAAATGCGTGCGATCTGAAGAACAAAAAAGTAGTTCGTTCTTCCGCAACACTTAAAAACGCTGTTCTAGTAGAACTAAGCTGCAACAATAAGCAAAATAAGGCTGCTTCGCGTTGTAGACTAAAATGAGCGAAAAATAAGAAAATTTGTGAGAGTATTTCGTGTGCACTGTTAGCGATATTTAGACCTGTTTGAGATATTGAAGGATGAAATAAAAAAAGATAAAATAAAAATAATGCTTTTGAATTGACATACATAGACATCTCAGCGATCATGTGCTCTTCGGTGAAACCATTTGTATTGATACTAGTATAATCATAGATATTTATACTGCGTATCGAATATTTTTATTCATCAAAGATAATTTACGAGTTCACCTGAAAACGCATAGAGAACATTAGAAGGAAAAACTTACCGGCAATGCATTAAACACAGCGTTTTTGAAGGAAACCAGTTTTTCTTGAGCAGATATCCCAGATTCCAGCACGCTCGGTATTGCTCGCACGCTAGTGTCCTGATATTGTAAGAATACCCCATTGGGGGACGGTACTTTGAGTGGCGACGATTTTCTTTGCATGAAGCAGCAGGACGCTGAGCGCAGATCTCTGGCCGCTCATCTAAAGTGAGCAAGAAGATGATGAAGACTGTCAGTAGTAAATATTTCTAATGATATGGTTTCGCGGGCCGGAACGGCTATTTGGGTATAAGGCTAGTTTTATTATGCAAGCGTGCATAATTTACGCCACACGTGGTTTTATAAGTGCAGTGACTTGCGGCTAATGTTGTAAAAAACCGAATGCGTACTGTGGTGTTTAGTTGACCTATGACAGATTGTGCTATGAATAACACAAACAGACACGCAAAGTCTCGTCTTAGAAAGTCCTTGCGTTTACATACTACAGAAAAAAAATCACAAGATATCCATGGTGCAAATACTGATGGGTGGGGCGAAGCATCCGTCAGTCGGTCCGTGCTCCCATCTGTTCGTTTTTAACTCCGTTCATCAGTCCGTCCATCGAGTGACCCCTCCGAGTACCGCCATCTCACACCTTTTCATCATATATTCATCATATACAAGCACCGTCATCCAGCGGACATTCCGAGCACTAAACGAGAGGTGGCTACCTACTATTATTACTACTACTACTACTACTACTACTACTACTACTACTACTACTACTACTACTACTACTACTACTATTACTACTACTACTACTACTACTGCTGCTGTTGCTAGTATTACTACCACATACATCGGGGATGCACAACCCATGACTCAAGGACTTGCGCCTTCAAAACACAGGAAACAATCGAAAATGCACTTCAGGTGACATGTACGTACATGTAGTGGCTTTCGAAAAATAATTTGTAACACCGCAAGGTGGGCCGCTCGCTGGTTTGATAAGCGTTTTCTGCTCGCGCGTTTCTTGCTTATAAAGCAAGTCCTACTCTCTAGTGCACGTTAAATGACGCTGCCTCGGGTCAAAGTGCTCGCATTAGGTACGGGCTGGGGCTGAGAAATAAAGGCTGGGCAGACGTAGTCCAGCGATACCACGTGTTATCCATGCGTTGAAAATGCGTGCTGGTGTGCTTGAGCGGATTTTATGTTTTCTGATGTTGGGCGCGCCTTATTCTTTTGAAATGAGGTTTATTTACAGGGCCTAAAAACGCGATTGATGGCAAGCGAACCGAGCGAGAATATGGTGGTGTTCCAACGCCGACCTCGTGATGCTTTTCTGATGATGATGATGACGATGATGATGATGATTATGATGATGCTGATGATCCTTGTTATCCCGGCGCACACCAACAAAACGGGGATCAGCCAAGAACTGGGCAGCAGGATCTTTAACTAAAAGGCTTATGATTTTACAAATTCAAAGGTATTTCGGACTTAAAAAAATGTATATATCTAAAGAAAAGTCATAAACCGAAAAAGGAGTATATCTGAGCAAGGATCGAAGCAGGCTATCAGATGTCATTTGAGACAAAAGTATTGGTGGGTCTTGAACAAATGATATATATAAAAAGGGCACTCTAACATGGCAATCGCTTTGTTTCAAATATGTGGTCTAATACCGCCGAGCAGACGTCCTTGTGCCTATACCCAAACTTAATGCTGTCAAACGATAAAATTAGTGGCTTATTTATTTAAGGCCTGAATTTTCAAGTGGAGCTACCAGGTATATTTTCCGCTGATAAGAATATCGGCGACAGAATACAAAGAAATGATCTATCGTTTCCATTTCTTCGCAAATCTGACATAAAGGTGACGCCTTGAGACCAGCTATATGTATATAAGAAGTTAGTTGTGGAATTCTACAACGCAATCTGGTATAATTAATTTCTTATAGCCATGTTGCGCACCACTGTCTATTGCGGCAGCGTCTTAGATGTGCGAAATCTCGAAATTTATCCAATGAGTAGGAGTTGATTTCTTGCAAACGGGGGTTTCTAAACCTTATTGCTGTCGCGTAAGCCGTATCAGGCAAAATCGAGATAAGGGGACCGCTAAGAGGTACTGGAGCTAGGGCATCTGCCTTATCATTGAGATATATGCCACGATGGCCTGGTGCTCATAACAGCTAAAGTTTGTGCAAGTTTGTCGGTATGAGTAGTCGAAACATATGCATAAGTGTTAAGTTGGCTCCCGAGGACAAAGCAGCACATACTGAAAAAGAATCTGTAATTACGACTGCTTCTGATTCGCCCAAAGGAAGTTTTCATATTGCCAGTACAATAGAAGATAATTCTGCCATGAATTTTGTGTGTAATCTGGAAGTCTAACCAAAAAGAACCAGTCAAGGGAGCGTTAGAAACTACCTGCCCCAGCCTTTTCATTTGATACGGATGCATCAGTCGCAATTAGGTTGTTCATGATAACGTGTGTCAAGTGATCCTGAAGCCGATCTTGTCTTGTCTTGTCTTGTCGCCTAGGATATCTTGGCTCATACCCACATGGGGGATTGGCCACACTGTACTTCATAATAGATATTTTTTACAACGCTTGCTAAAAAGAAGAAAGAGAAATGAGATAGGAACAATAATAACGTACCTTTAAAGCACGTGAAAAATTGCAGAAGAATGCGATAAACCCGATTATATAAAACAAATTAACAAGAAGGAGGAAGGGAAACATAGAATTGGATATATCTGGCAGTACCACTAGCAGCGTATCCTTCCGGTTGCCTGAATGAATTTATGTAGCGCTGACAGAATAGCACTGCGGCCCACACCCAACTGACTGGCTCCAAACGATAATAGGGTGGGTGTATTGACTGGCAATCCGAGCATACAAATCGGTCTTTCAAGAATTATTCGTCGCAGTGAGGTGAAGCGGCGGCATGTGAGAAGAAAGTGATCTATTGTTTCCGGTTCATTGCAAACTGCACATAGGTTAGTTAATGAAAATCCTGATTTGTTGAGATAAAAATTTAACCAAGGAACTCTACAGCGAAAGCTTGTGAGGGTCACCTCACATTGACGGGAAAGGCATTTTGCGGTGTTCCATGTGAATTGCAAGTGCCGCAATTCTTCAGATTGTACGAGAGGCGTTTCGTTGATTTTTAAGATTAACAGGCGTTTGAATCGTTCGGTAGTAATAAAAGGAAACTGTGGGTCTACTAGCACCACCGAGAAATTTAAAGATGCCGAAGCGAGTGAATCAGCAATTTCATTTAGTACAATTTCAGCATGCCCCGGGACCCAAATAAACCGAACTTCTGATAGGCTATGCGGTACGAGAGACCAAAATATCCTGAGAAGAGGAGAGTGGTTTGCGGACATTAGATGTGTACATACAGACAAAGAATCCCAAATAATAATAGCTTTTGATTGCTGATAATTTAGTTTTCGAAGAGCCAATGTAATAACCAGGAATTCTGCGAGATAAATTGGTGTGAAGTCAGGCAATCGGAGCGTAAAATACCAATTAAGCTGATGACAAAAAATACCTACTCCAGCCTTCTGAAGACTTTGCGTTGCATCCGTTGAAATTACTACGTATTTTTGACGTCTCGTGATTATAATCGTTGTTCCCTTTCGTAGTCTTCCTTCCTTCATTGAAATTTCCCCCCCGAAAAAGATGAAGCCATCCTTACGATATAACAGCTCTTAGTGGTCTCTTATCTCTTAGCGGTCCCCTTATCCCGATTTTGCCTGATACGGCTTACGCGACAGCAATAAGGTTTAGAAACCTCTGTTTGCATGAATACGACTGCTACTCATTGGATAAATATCGAGATTTCGCACATCTAAGATGCCGCTGGAATAGACAGTGGTGTGCAACACGGCACTTGGAAGTTACTTTTACAAGATTGCGTTGCAGAATTCCGCAACTGAATTATTATTTGCATAAAGTTGGTCTAAAGGCGTCACCTTTATGTCAGACTTGCGAAGAAATGGAAACGATAGATCACTTCTCTTTGTTCTGTAGCCGATATTCTGAACAGCGAAAAAGATACCGGGTAGCTGTATTTGAAAAATTGGGATTAGATTTAAATGTGGCAGTAATTTTGTCGTTTGGGAGCATTAAATTCGGTTATGCGGTATTTGAATACATAATAGAAACAAAGCGATTGCCATGTTAATCTGCCTATATATATATATATATATATATATATATATATATATATATATATATATATATATATATATATATATATATATATATATATATATATATATATATATATATATATAATTTTAGACCCACCATTACCTCTGTCTCAAATTGCATCTGATAACCTGCATCACTCCCTGCTCAGATATACTCCTTTTTCGATTTTCGGCTTTTCTTTCTATCATTTGTTTCAGCCCAAAATTACGTTTCGTTTGAAAAACCATTAGCCTTTTAGTTAAGATCCTGCCGCCCAGTTCTTGGCCGATCCCCCTTTGTGGGTGTGCGCCAGAGTATCAAGGATCATCAGCATCATCATCATCATCATCATAACAGCTGGAAACAAGCCGGTCAATCGACAATTCGTGTTTTTTCTTAGCTTTTTTCTCTTTGCCAAATTTATCATCATCTGTTGGAAACATAGTAATCACCTTTTCTTTTTGCCGTGCATAATCCTTAATTGTTCACTTGCATTACCCGTTGGCTTTTTCACCAGTGCCCCCTAGTGGGTAAGAGCCACAACAGAGGAACAAGCAAACAAGCGAACATGCCTGTCGAAGCGCGGCTTGACGTGGTCTATGTGATAAATGTTACGTCAATGTTGATGACGGTTGGTCAGTGTACGCATTTCACTGGTGAAGTACGCGCCACCACGGGGTAGGGACCATGAGGTAGTTTGGGAAGGAAATCAGGAGCGCAGGGTTGTATATGCAGCTACACAAGTCTCCTGGGTCCAAATTTTGCCGCAGGAAGATTGTCGTCATCGCGCACCTCTTTCTGGCGTTGTCGGTCGGCTAGTCTGAGTAAGCGGCATTTTCAGCGTGACTGGTGGCTTCTCACACGTTCGTGCACTCGGATGCATCTGTTGCTTATAGTAGCAAAGTGTCAGTTGCGGGAAGGCTGACAACCGTCAAAAGGCAGAATAGGGAAAACTCAGTTGTGGCTAGCGCAGAAGCGTTGTACTTGTAAGTCGCAAGCGGAAGAGGTATACCTCAGTTT